CTTGGGCTCAGCCTTAGCGGAGCGCAGATAATCGTAGTGTCATCCATTAGCGCCAGCGGCAAGAGTGAATGTCATATTCGTAATCAGGATGTTAAACTACCCCTACATACAAGTTTTTAGCGGATTTGGTGACTTAGGCAATTTAAAAATGAGCTCGGTGCCGAAATTGCTGGAGTCCAAACGGCATTAGCCCAATAGCTCATCGTATTACTGTGATCCCAAATTTGCACAAGAATTTTCTCGAAGCTGCTGAGAACTCCGTTGTTCCACAAGTTATCCAACCTTTTTTTTCATGTTCTGGACGGCATTTAGTGGTGCAGAGTGCGAGGAAAGGATTGTGAGCAAAGGGATGCTCAGCGGCAGCAGCCTACAGATCTTCTAGCAGAATCACCACTAAATCCTGGTCGAAGGGGACTGGATTGGCAACGCGGCCATTACTATTGCTCTTTTTCTTCGCTACAGGGCTGCTGAGCAGCTACACTTTTGTTTTAAACCCTTCTGCCAACCATCTCGCAATCACGGATGGTGTCTTTGAAGGAACAGTCTACCCTGAAAGGATCGGCGGAGTCTGGAAAGGGACAGTCGACCACTGAGCATTCGCCGTTGGAGCGCCCCTCCTTCCGTGAAGAGGAAGGCGCGCTAGCCACAAAGGCACAAGGGTCCACTTTGTCCGCCCACACGGTAAGCGTGGACTGTGGCCTCAACCATGTTAACTGACTAGTCAAACTCAAACATCAAGCACTTTTCTAGCAAGTTTCTACTAAATCAGACTACCTCCATTCAAGGTTTCACCTCAACTATCCAAACCTCGTCGTCATGTGTCATGCTTCCATCGAAAGATGGGAATACCCATATCAGGAAATTTAGGAATTGTACTATACAAGAGAGCAGAGACTTCCTATTTAGCTTCCCTTCATGAATTCAGAACTAATAAGAGTTGGTGTTTAAATCTAATAATCTGGTATCACTGTACAGACCTCATCGCGCAGTGTGTAATAGCGAGCATCGGTCACTCGACTACGGTAACGCAGAATCAAAGGCTTGACGAAAAGCATCAGTGGAACCTGCACCACCGCTAACACCAGCAGCACCCGCTCGACGATACCCTGAAAAGATTGGCTGCCTACTCAGAGACCAGTACTCATGATACAACTTCTGAAGTGACTAAATCTGAAGTTCATGAGCACAGGTCTCTGTTTTTCAATAATTTCATTATGTCTAAATAAAATTTTTCGAGTAGGCTGCCAGTTGGTAAAGTTCACCGAACACGATGGGCACTCGTGCACACCAACCAGCTGTCTGTGACCAGACTCGCGACGTTCTTTATCTGCTTTCCATAGCATATACGGCTTCGCAAACAGCATAATCGGAACGCAGATGATCGCCACCAATACGAAAAGTGTTTGGAAAAATCCCTAGTATCACAAAAAATTGATTAGAAGTAAAAATATCGGAATCTCAGTTTCAACATAAGTTATTTAGCGAGGATAGGTTCATATCGGGGGGCCTCTGAAAGTGCCAATTCCCACCTCAATACCACTGAATATCAAGATCTTTATGTGAATGCCTAAAATCACATTTCTGGACGAAAATCGATTACATTGAGATCCCTGTTCCTCTACTCCTGGAGGCGGCCCTATTACAACAAAAAGGAATTACAGTGGTTCCTTTTTTTTTCCTTCTTACCAGAACGATAGGTCGCGTGAACCAACATGTCGTTTGAATAGATGTAAGTGGCCTGACGTATCTTCGGATTGTGAATACAACCCACTCTTCCGTACCTGTTGGTGAACCCCCACTACGAAGTCACGGAGTTTATTTAGGCATGCCTACACTTGATAAAAATTTTGGGCATAAGGCTAGTTCGACTCCGGCATCTAGGTAATGTGGCTGGCCTCATGTCTGCAATTCGGTTGTAATGAAATGCAATTAGTCTCACATTCGAAGCTGTTTTACGCCTGAAAATCGTTTTTAATGCGAGGTATGTTCCGTGAAAACGCTCGTAATCCCGTTCAGGAAGGTTCCAGGTTGTGAATACCGCCCAAAAGCAGACCAGTCAGGATAGGCGTCATCTCAGACCGGCACTTTGACCTCCCATTTCCCGTTGTTAGCAAAAAAATTTCTGGAACAACTAATTTGCTTCCATATTGATTTCAAGTACGAATTTTAATGGAATACTGAACAAACAAGCGACACTAAAACCATGTCGATATTTTTGCTCATCCCTGATCCTGGCACCTTGGTGAAATCCCTGACCTACTGTGAAATCACCGGAAGTACCCCCTTGGTGCCTAGTATTGGAGGTTGAGTTCTACAGCCAAGGAACCATTCTACAACAGCACGTAGAAAATTTCTACGATCAAAGCTTGCTAAGAGGCCCTTCGAGGCTGTACTGTGGAAATTTTGGAGCTTTTCGAACATTGTATACCCCAAATATAAGCGAATACGAGTAGTACCTGTCCAGGGTACCAGTAGTTGAGATGACACTGGAACTTCTGATGTCCTTCTTCGTCTACGAAACCAGAGGGTAGTGATTTGAACATAAACATGTTGATAAGGCCGATTAGCAGCGATGGTGCACAATTCGAACCAGGATACTTATAGCCAAGGATAGATTCTTGCGGCTAAAAGGAGTGAACAGTTACTTTAACGATTTCATTCGCACATGGTTTTATGCAAACTGAAGTGCTTCAGGACATGCCAAATGGAAAGCGATCAGCTGTTAGCTATTCAGTAGTCTTGGTTGTAAAAACGTTTGGATGTTTACAGATGGACGCAAATGTTTCTAAGAAATAAACTTACCCCCGCAGTAAAGTAAATCCATTTGACAACGATCTCCAGACACAGATACATAAATATGCTAGCCAAGAATATCATTTGTGGTATGAACATAAACTTTATGTCCAAATTGGATTTGAAATACCTGAAATATACGAGTTCGAGAAGAATAAACGTCCATTCGTGTTCGGAACCCATAAAAGTTCTTCTGTAAAATACGGAGGATTCTGTAAAATACGAAAACCCCTTGTGAGCATAGTCTTCGGCAGTAGACCTTGTTCTTCGGAGGATAAAGACAAGACCACACAAAAAACGGCGACGGGGGAGCGGAGGGCATTTTGCATTTTTGCTACTTCCCATCGACGTGTCGACCCATTAGGAAAGCCCCTTATCGAGTTGCCAGGGGTACCTTGATGGCCTGACGCCCTTGCTCCATCTTCACAAGAGTTCACAGTTTCATCAGAGTCAGACTATAAACCGGAACCAGAGAAACAACGAAAGTGCAGAATGCACCCCCCCCCCCGTCGCCGAACTGCGCCCAAAAAATGTTCATCAGGAAAATTCCTACATATATCCGTATCATTTGACAGGCTATCAGATATCAGGTCCAAATGACTGACATCAATTTACACCTTCCGATCCAGATGAAAGGGCATAAAGGGCATAAGCATAGTGAATATCCATCAGTTAAGACCCACAAACCCTTCGACAAAATTCAAGGACCTTTTAGAAATGATGAGAGCCACATGATGTGGACAGATCAAACCAGGAAGTCATGATTGTGGAATGCACTGCAGAGGCGATAAAGGGAGAGAACGCCATTGCACGGAAATATT